ATATATATTATATATGATAGTTGGAATTTTTTTCCCATGCTTCTTAAAAGTGTGACTACCATGCATATCATTTATGTATAATCTACCACAATGTTATAATCATTTCACTGATAAGAGAATAAGTCCAATGGAATTAATGGACTTTCCTAACATTCTATGTGTGTGGAGTAATAGAACCAGCATGAAAACCCAAGTTTGACTCCAAAGCTTATGATTTCTCCCTTCCTATTGTCACTTCAGACCTATGGCTATTTATCTTTTTCTCTGTAACTGGACATCCAGCAGGTGATTGTTTTATTTTTTCAATACATAAAATAAAAGAAAAAAGTCTGTGAGTGACTGAAAATGAAAGCATTTTTAAATATATGTCTGCATATGAAACCATAGCTTAGTGTCATCCAAAAACCTTGTCATAGTGTTCTCAGTTCTGGCAGTCAGATTCACTGCGAAGAAAAAAAAAATGAATTCCAGTCTTGATGTGTACAGGTATCACAATCTGACCCTGTGATAAAATTAACTGGTAGTGGCAAATTAGAAATTTTACTTCATGCTGTGTACAATCAGACACCACTTTCCTAGAGCATCAGTAATGTCATTTGTTCTAAGCAATAGCTTTCAATGGCTCACAAACATTCGTTTTTAACTGTTTCTTGAAAACATGCAATTTCTTGTTTATGTAAAGGGAATGAATGTCCTAAAAAAATCTATTTTTTCCATGAACTAGTCCATCAACTTCTACTTTAAAACCTGGCAACTTTCTGTTCAGCCAGAATAAACTGAAAGTATTTTTGAGAAGAGATAACCCAGACTGCACATACAGATAGGACAATCTGTGCAGCTCTCTCTTGGCAAGATAATTTTACTGCTTATAACCATCTGGTTTGCATCACTGTTGAGTTCAATGGACATCAATATATTTTTCAGAAATTCTACAAATTTTTGTAGAAGAGCAGACAACACAAGGGCTGTATGCTAATGATTTGGCATTTTGTCAAGGTAATTGCTACTGTGTACAGGCAAGGTACAAAGCATCGTGAGTCATGCACTTATTCTTTAGTCACTGATCTCCAAGTCATTGATTTTTGTAGTCTTTAACAGGTCAAATATTGTTTTATTTTTTTTATTTTTTGCATCTGATTTACCTCTAACATTTAACATTTTACTTTCTTTTTACATGAATATATTTTGGTTGTTATTTGAGTTTTGTAGTCATTGTTCATTGTGGCATAGGTGACTACTGTGTGCAGGAAGCTGTGGCTATTTTGGATTAAGAAGAACAGATACTACACTTTCATTGATATTTTATTATTATCTGTGGATTATGTTTTGTCATGTATTATATCGTAATCTGAGAATTCACCAATATTTCCCAAAACAGGGAAACTAAATAATTTTTTGTTAAGACTGGAAGGGTTTTATTTTAAAAGATTAGTTGAAGGGGCGGAGGATTTAGCTCTGTGGTTCTGCTGCCTGCTTCGCAAGCTCAAGGTTCCAAGTTCAATCCCTGGTATCAACCCCACCAAAACAAGCAAAAACAAACAAATCAAAACAACAACAAACACACATACAAACAAACAAAACAAACAAAAAGATTAGTTGATTTGTTACCATTTCTATGATAACTATTTAATTCAACAATTGTCTCTGTCCTTAGCAAATATATTCTGCTTATCTCTAATTTTTAGCAAATGTTCAAGCCATTTTATTGCCGTCACTGAACTCTATTTCACTATGGTAGTTTACTGAAGCATCCTATGTGATGTTGCCACCTATCAAAAGGAATCCCTTTAAAGAAATTCTTCAATCTTTACCAATTTAAATATACTATGAAAGTAAAATAATGTATGCAAAGTTGTAATATTCCATTGTCATTTGATATTTTTGTTTGCTAATGCTAAAAGGAAAAATCTCTTACGAGAGAAAAGGTAATATAGTGGCATTAGGTTCTAACATAAGATTACAAATGAGGCCTTACTTTTAAGACTTTCAAAACACTCATTAAAAAAAAGGCAAAAAAAAGGTTAAAAGATAGTAAGTATTCACTTTTAACATATGTGCAAAGTTTATGAAAGTAGAAGAAACCCAGCTAACTGTACACTTGGAAATATGACTGGGCTACTAATATAATAAAAATCACAGTATACAGAATAATTGGACTCGAAGGAAGAACCCAGGGGAGCCTAAGTCATGCTCACTTCAGTGCAAAAATCAGCTCTTACTGGAATAATGTTTTTCAGAGTACCTACCGGAGATTGAATCTTCCAACTAGGCTACATCCCCAACCCTTTTTATTTAAATATTTATTTTTCTTTTGAGACAAGATTTTGCTAAATTGCTAAATTGCTGTGCTGGGCTCAAATGAGATTTTCCTGCCTTTGCCTCTCAGAGTGTTAGGATTACATGTGTGCATCACCATTCCTGGCCCAAATTTTTAAAAATATTGTTTATTAATTCTTGCTAACCTACTTAGAGAAGAAGCAAAGGATAGTCTATGGGAAAAATGACAAAAATCACCTCCCTCTTTCTATATGTCTATTACATATGCCCATTGAAAACAAGAAAAGGTAATGTGCTTTTAAACCAAGAACGCTGGAGATTCTTTTCAAATATTGGATTAAAAATAAGCAAGGGATATTTCAATCCTTTAAGGATGATGAAATTGGCATCGCCACGAAATGTACTGACATATTTTTCTCTACTCACCAA